TTAGGTCCTCCTCGAATGCTCGGGGACGCCTAGACGATTAATCGGCGCCTAGGCACCCGTGTACTTTTTATTTTTTAAAAATTTGTTTAAATTTTTTAAGACTTGATAATAATTATAAACTAATCTCTATGTCCCATATTGCCTGTCATGTTTATTATTCAGTGCTCAAGTCAATTCTTTCTTTATTGTTTATTTTCTTTAGTAATTTTTAATTATTTTTAAATTTCATTGGTTGTGTTTAATAGTAATTTTAATGTAGTTTCTAAATATATAAAGTTTATATACTAATACTAAACTTAATATTATTATGAAAAACTGAATTAAAAATAATTTTAGTCAAGCCTCGTTAACCGAATCAGACAAAAAAAATGAGACGGATGGAGTATTTAATACTTTAATAGTTAATACTAAAATATTAAATATTAACCTAAAAAAAATCTAGAGTTTGAACAATTTAAAATTAAGGGTTTTTTTACTCAAAACGATGTCATTTTGAGTGAAATAACTCATTTTACAAAGAAGGGAACAATAGCTAATTGGTCGACTAGGCGACCTAGTCGGTGCATAGGAGGCCAAGGCAATTAGCGCCTTGACAGGCTTAAGCGGCATAGTCAGCCGCCTAGACCACTGATTATGGTGATACGCTAGGCGGGTGAGTGGCACCTAGCACTTAAGCGCCGATTAATCGGTGCCTAGGCGGGATTTTTGCAACACTACTTTAAGCTCTACATTTTATCCTTATGGTACTCCTTTAATTATTGGGTTATTTGATTCGAGCCACCCGAATTAATTTAATCTATCAGTGGCAATATATATATTGGTTATATAAAAAATATATTTATTTTGGTTATATAATTTCAAAATTATTTGTATTCATTTGTCATTTCTATCGTGCATTGTGCATACTTATCTATACTATATATAAAATAAAATAAAATAAAAATCATGAACTTTAACTTTTCGCCCAATTCCTAAAAAATCTTGCTTTCTAATAAAATATATTGCTTTCTACTTTCCTATTCGTACTATAATTCTAGGTTAAAAGTCATATTCTAATAGCGAAAACGACAATTTTTCCCTCTGAGTTATATACTTATAACACTTTTTTACCCTGAATTATTCATGTATGCACATTAGCCCCCTCAAGTATTCTAAAAGTGGCGATTTTCCCCCCTGATATATTAAATTGACATTTCTACCCTTAAAGTAAACATTTTATTTATTTTTCTTCTCCAACAAATTATTGCGTATACGTAGGGATGATCACGGTTCGGTTTGAACTGAACCGGACACTATAGCAATCGAATTGAAAGTTTCCTCTTATGATTCAGATCAGAACCCAATATTTGTATTTCAATTTATTAAAATTATGAATCGAAAAAACTGGACCCTGAACCGTAAATTGGCAGTTCCAGATCCGGTTCATGATTTTGATACGTCTTTATTTTAGAATTTTATTTTTATATTTTAAAATAGTCTAAATTCAACAATAAATATATTTTATTTTTTCAGTTCAGAACATGAACCGTCCGTTCCGGTTCGCAATTTTAATAAACTCTAAATATCGGGTTTCACATCTAAATTGTAATTGGAATATTTCGGGTTGGTTGCTATAATGTCTGTTCGGTTTGAACCAAATCGTGATCATAATTCGTTCGAGAAAAAAATAAATGAAATATTTATTTTAAGGGTAAATATGTCCATTTAACAATTTAGGTGGACAAACAGCCACTTGAATAATTTATTGAAAAAAAAAGTGCTATTATAAGTATATAACTCAGTGGAAAAAATGCTATTTTCCTATTATAAAACAGTGTAATACAATTCCTAATAGAATATATTGTTTCAAACTTTCCTATTTGTACTATAATTCTACATTAAAATTTCTATTCGTAATACAATAGGACAATATATATATATATATATATATATATATATATATATATATATATATATATATATATATATATATATATATATAAAAGGTGTTTGTTGAACTTGGTTCCTGGTGCAACATGTTATGAAGATCTTCGTATTGTTGAGGGGGTGCAGTATAGTTCGTTTCGAGATGCATGCTATGCTCGTGGTTTATTAGCAGATGACAAGGAATATGTTGATGCGATTAATGAAGCAAGTAAATGGGCATCTGCAACTTCTATGAGGAGACTATTTGTTACTATGCTTACTTCAAACGTTCTTATTCGACCATAAGTTGTTTGGGAGGCAGTATGGATATTCTTAGCTGAAGATGCGGAGTTCAACCAACGGAAACTACTAGATAAACCAGGTTTTTTTTATTTATATTCTTTTGTAGGATCCAAAATACATACATTTTATTAACATGATTGTTCTATATTGGAACATCAGATATAAGTAAGATTTAGATCTTATTTCCTTTTTTAGGTTTAATCCTCACAGATGAAGAAAAGGCTAACTATGCTTTGGTGGAAATTGAAAATCTTTTACGTGTATTTGGAAAAAGTATTTCTTGCTTTCCCTCTATGCCTCTGCCAAATATGAGTTCCTCATCTTCTCATGGAAATCAGTTGTTAGATGAAGAATTGTCATATGATTGTGATGCTCCTAAAACTTATTGCCTGTTAATTTGCGTATCTACACCTGCTTCTTGATAGGAAGCGTGTGATTTCAATCAAGCTGTGTACGGGGAGTGCTGTATTGTTGGCAGAGTTGGTATTTCCTTTAATTTTTTACGGCAGCAGGTATGGCTATCGATGTTACAGTTTCACTACCTTAGTTCCACGCTTATATATAGAAGAAGATACATGTTTTGAGACTTCAGCCTCTATTCAAATACAAACTTAAAAAACAAATTACATATTTCTGCAATCAAGGCAAGAGATATCCGGGCAGTTTATTGTGGGTGCGCAGCTTCATCTTCAGCAGACTAAGGAATCTACTATTGAGTTAATACCAGTGTTGTAAAACTCGGCCGCCTAGCCGCCTAGGTGCCCGCCTAGGCGCTAGGCGGCCACTTGCCTTGGAGTTTTGGCCTATAGGCGGCCAAAACTCGGTCGGCCGCCTAGGCGGCCTGGGCGGTCAAACTCGGCCGAGTCGACCGATTTCGTCCGATTTTGACCGTTTTGACCGATTTTGATCGATTTTGTCTGATTTTGACCGATGTCGTCTTTCATTAATTATTGATTTTAATATTATTATGACATTATGACTTATAAATTATCATTATTTCATTTATTTAGATGTGTTATTTGAGTGAACGTTGAAAACAACCTCATTAAAATTGTCGAACTACAAGTCTGTCACTATTTTTTTTAATTTTTTTGGTGCCCGCCTAGCGCCGCCTAGAATCCGCCTAGGCGCCGCCTAGACCGCCTAGGCGCTAGGCGCTGCCCGGCCGCCCGACTAGCGCCTAGCGCCTACTGCAACCTTGGTTAATACCAACATCCTTTTCTTTTGGAACTCTACTTTACGTAAGTTGTTTAATATGCACACAAAAAAAAAAAAAAAAAATTAGAGAAGGGATCAATAGTTAACAAATGCAGGCAGAATGAAAAGGATGAAGGGATCAACAAGCATATGTGGAATGAGAAAACTTTTATAGAAACAAAAAAGGTACAGAAGCAAACATGGTGTTTTAAATTCAAGCTTTATCAAATTTGCACTTACTATTTGATTTGCACTATGTTCCTGTTTTCCTTTGGATATGTGTCTCAACTCTACACCATCTACACCATATTTATAAAACAATTCTGTTAGTACTAGAAAGAAACATGCATGCTGATCAGAAGTTAATATCATATAAGTAAAGCTTGGTTATTGAATTTGATTTGCATAGTAAATAGTATACAAGGTTAGTTCTTTTATTTCCTTTTTCTTAAATTCATATTTAGTGTCATTATTTACAGCACATTATATATTACAATTATTTATCCTTAAACTGTTTCTATCTTTCTTAGCATTTTATGAAGTCAAGTAAATTTTAGTTGTGAATTTCAATCCTTAGTCCTTTATCTGTCTATGCATATACTGAAAAAAGAAAGAAATTATCTGATGTGAAAGCCCCTGTTGGCTTTTCTAATGTTTCACTATAGTACCAATGGACTCAAGTTATTCAGAGATTGAGCTGTAGTTGCATTAGACTGTGATATGCTCAGAGGTGACCTCTTTGGGGAAACAGGCATGGTGCAAACTAACAAGACGCATGGATATGGATCTGGTTTCTACGGCAATACAAAATGCAAGGTAGCATTATATTTTTGAGTTTTTTTTTGTCCTATTCATTATCTAACCTCACATTGGTGATGAGAATGAATTCCTATTCAGTTTTGTTGGATTCTACTGAAAAATTGTTAACAATTTATGAAGTTTTTAGGCTTTTAGATTTTTAAATTGTAAAAGCTTTTTTGTTAAAATATGATATAATATTTGAATAATTTATTTCTTATTTAAAGTACAAAAACAAGCCATCACCTTTCTTGAGTACAATATAAGTTACACAATATCCAATACACAAAATATTGCTACTTTTCCCATACACCTAGCAGCCCTACTACTAGGCATTAATTGTTGATGGTAAGCTTTGACTCTCATATACTAATGTTTGATAGTGACTTCAATTCTCTAAAAGTTGGTATCTATATATACATGGCATTTAAGAAACAAAGATGTTCTTTCTCAAAGAAAAGTTTTGTATGTGCATAGTAAAGAATTGCAAGAACAGTGAAGAAAGTGAAGGGGTCAACTACCATACGTGGAAAAAGAAAACACGATGTTGAAGATAAAGGTACAATGAAAACATACCTGTTGTTCTACATTCAAACTCAATGAAATATTGACTTAATATTTCATTTGCAATATGTACCTGATTTGCTTTACATGTGTGTGAAATCTGCACCAATTTTTTTTTTTTTTTTTAAGTAACGTGAATTCTAGGAAAAAATATGCAATTGAAACGTATATCAAATTTGTTGCTAATTGTGAAATAAAGCAATTCTAAAATATTCATTGCATGTGAACCAAAATAAACCAAAAATAAAATCTGATATATAAATGAAACACATGAGATGTTAAATGTATAGAGAATAATAATAAAGCATTAATTATATATATAGATGTAAAAAATATAGTTAAAAAGTTATAAAAGAATATTACCCTTCAAAGAAGGTGTTCACTGTATGTATCTCTTCTTTGTAGCTCTACCCAGACATCTTAGTTCCCGTCGTCTGCAATATTGCCATAGTTTTTTGAGGACATGTGCATACAAATAATAGAAATATTATTTTCTGCATTTAAAAGCTTACACTCTAATGTTGAGGTAAATGTAAAAAAAAAAAAAAAAAAAACAAAAAAAAAAAAAAAAAAAAAAAAAACAAAACAAAAAAAAACAAAAAAAAAACAAAAAACAAAAATTGATCTCACTGGAAATCTATTTTTATACATGTTCTGTTCTGGTGCATAATCATAATTAGAATTAGTCAGTATTACAATATAGCAAATATTGCTCATCTAGGAAATGAAACAATGAAGGTGCAAATTTCCATCCACTTTTGGTATCAGCCTCCATTTTTGTCTTAGTACATAGTTCATATCAGAAACATGGAGGATTCATCCCATTTACACTACATTACATGAAGCTATTTTAGTTTTAAACTGAAATTTTACATGTGTTTTCGAGCTTGTAGATTCATCTGCAAAAGCTTTAACCGCTGCAGCACTAACCATCCATCAAAGCAGAAATAGAGTCCAGTGAAAATGATCTTTTGATTCCGAAAAAAAAAATGATATATCAAGAAAACTGCAAGATGAGCAGATTTCTCACAAACCAATGAACTCAGATTTTTCTCAACAGTTAACTAAACAATTTTCAAATATAATCGCATTTGAACTCAAATAAACTCCAAAAAAAATATGACATATAAATTGAACACATGGGATGTTAAATCTATATAATATGTAACGCCCCAAGACTTCAGAAGGAAAGAAAAGATTGAGTGCCGTTAGTTTGTTGTTAATCTGTTAGCTGTTATTAGATATTTTCCACAATTCTTTTCGATATCCTTAGTATAAATAGGGAACATATACAGGAGGTTTATGCTTCGTTTGACTCAAAGTAATAGAATTTCTCTCAACTTTCCTTACCTCTTTCTCCCTCCCAACTCTCTCTTCTCTGTATCTTCCCTTTTCTCTTCTATTTCCCCTCTATTTTCTCTTTTCAAATTCCAGAATCAATAATAAACCCAAGTTTATCCAACAATATACATGCATATAAAAAATAAAAAATCTATATAAAAAACGCACATATGAACAAAAATATTGCACATAACAGATATTAAAAAATAAATAAATACTCCAGCGCTAACTCTTTGTTGATATACTCATAAATTTCTAGATCTGAAAATTATTGCATGTGTATAATATTCCTAAAATCGAAATATACACATCCGTCTAAACAAGAACATACTTGATTAAATGCAAAATGATGGCGTTCACACATGCAGGCAGCTGAAATACAAGTCCCAAGTCTCATGCATTTATTAGGTGCTTTTATTTATATCAAGTATTTATTTTTCATGTGGCTCTAGATGTCTTTTCCATTCTCAAAACATTGCATTTATATTTCTGTTACGGATTCTCATATGGAGTTGCCTATATATTCATATATTCTGTAATCCTGGAGATATTGAAGAAGAATATTATTCCCTTTGAGTTCTTATAATTTGTGTGATTGTTTCTTGAGCTTCGATCCTACGTGCGTTCACACATGCAGGCTGAAATACAAGTCCCAAGTCCCATGCATTTATTAGTTGCTTTTATTTATATCAAGTATTTGTTTTTCATGTGGCTCTAGATGTCTTTTCCATTCTCAAAACATTGCATTTATATTTCTGTTACGGATGCGAAAAACTTGATTTGTATATATTCAAAATTCAAAGTATCGGTTACAAGTAGTATGTATCAATCAAGAAGGGGTACAATCTCTGTATATGAGAAGTCCTCTGATTCTCTACTAGAAGTATGCTTATTAGATGTGTGCCAAATTTGGAATATGCCAAATTGGAAGTGTGCCGAGTCCAGAGTATGCTGAACTTGAAGTAGTTCCTTGTCGGAAGTATGCCGAATCCGGAATATGCCGAATTGGAAGTGTGCCGAGTTCAAAGTTCGGGAGTATGCCGAACTGGAAGTATGCTGAGTTCAAAGTATGTTGAACTGGAAGTATGCCGAGTCCGGGAGTATGCCGAACTGGAAGTAGTTCCTTGCTGAAGGGCCTCCGGAGTTATGTAGCTTGTTCTTCAATGAAGGGCTAATATGCAGCTTGATCTTCAAAGAAGGGCTTCTGGTGTTCAAGTGGCGTGTTCCTACGCAGTACAACTGCGGGCGTGTTCCAGACGATATCCTGGAGAGATTTCGGCAGAGCTTCGATATGCAGATTTCCAGACCTCATTCTTTGAAAATGAAACCACTATTTATAGTGGTGAGGGTGAGGGAAAATCTCCAACCAACTCTTAATTCCTTATTTAATTTAATTTCTTTAATTAAATTAAGGAATGTATCGGGACACCATTGCGCCCAGGTTCATGATTTCATTAAATTTCCAAATAATATCAAATATTCAAATTTCCTCAAAATTATATAATCCACATATAATTTTAGTGGGCCAAGACCATGTCAAGCCCGCTAATTAGGCAACCCAATTCATCCAAGCAGCCCGGTCCAACTCAATTAAATATTTTATCATTTCGGGCAGAACAATCCAACATCCAATTACATTTAATTAAGCAATTAAACCAATTAAATATTTAATAAGTCATTTTAATTAACTCGATTAAATAAATACCAGTCTAATTAGCTTAATTAAAGTAATTAATTTAACAATCAATTATCCACCACGGTGCAACAATACTATTTAAATTTCCAATGCTTACAAATTGCCCCTTCGAGACTTGCTTGACGTGCCTTAAACGCAAAGGGAAGGTAGTCTCGAAATTAATCGTAGTAGTCCAACCGTCCATATTTGTAGATAATAACCCAATAATTAAATTCTGACTGCAAGAAATCTGGCAATTTATATCCTACACCACGGCGCCCGTTGCACTATGCGCCCAGATGCAAAACGACATCGTTTTAATTTTTTTTTTTTTTTGAAATTTCCCGCCCCAGTGAATGGCAGTAGTTTTTTCTTTAAAAAAAAAAAAAAAACCGTTGTTCAAGAATGTACATAATGTTGTACTAGAATACACATAATTGTATACATGAATGTACATAATTATATAACAAAATATACACACTCTTTTTAAAAGATAATACACATAATCTAACATAATACATAATAAACATAAACTTTTAACATAATACACATCAACTATTAACATAATACACACAAATTTTCTGATTTGGATGTACATAATTGTATAAAAAGAATGTACATAATTGTATAAAAAATGTACATAACTGTATAAACCAATACACATAACTATATGAACAAATACACATAATCCCAGCAACTTCCTACCGTGCCTCCCAAAACGACGTCGTTTTGGGAGGCGCGCGGCGCACAGTGCTATGTGCGCCGTGGTGTAGGGTATAACGACTGAAGAAATCTCCAATATATGCACCAAGCCCAACAAGAACCATGTCCACAATCATATTAAAGGCCCATCTTATTTTCCCTCTCAACTTTACTCAGATTTAATTTTATTTTTAGCCAAATTCCAATTTTAATTTAGCTAAAATTAATTTCCTTTCACAGCTTGATAGACGTACATGGACCACTAGTGTAGTTCCAACATCCAATCAGCTCTTCTCTTAGAATTCAAAATTCTATCAACTATATCCCAGCCACATAACCAACCGCAGAATCAGAGCTTGATATAGATTAAACAACAAAATTGGAGTCCTAGCACACTCAAATTCCTCATTCTGCAGCTATAAATAAGACTCATCTTCACTGCCTTGCATCCCCTCTCATCTGAGCGCAGACCAACAACCTTCAGGTAACTCTAATTTTGCCCATATATATGTGTATGTATTTAATTTTTGCAGCTTTTATCAAGAACAAGGAGGGGAAGAATTGAGAGCATTGGATGGGACCTCCTGGGAATTGATTTTCCGGGTTGTTTTCTCACCAATGCTTGGCTCGCCATCTTCACCAACAGTGGACCGGAACCTTCCCGGAATTGATTTCCCGGCTGTTTTCACCACTGTTTGGATCTGTTCTTGCTACCGGATAGTGCCCATTCTCATTGCACTTGGCGATGAAGGACACGGAATCGCGCCGGCGATCTAGTATCGCATCGGACATCTGCTATGCTTCTTCTTGAGCTCTCTGCCGTCACCAACAGCGGACCGGAACCTCTTTGGAAACTGATTTTTCCGGGATGACTTCCACCACTGTTTGGGTTCACGCCGCCGGCCACCGGCCACCGTCACCGGGGAAGGCCACTGCTGGATGTTGCCTCAAGACGTTGCTCCGGCACGTCTTCTATCATCGGAGAAGAAAGCTTGGATCACCATCTTCACCAGTGATCTGGAACTTTTTGAAAGTTAACTTTTCCGGAATGATGTTTGGATTCTTGCCACATGAAAGACATTGGACAGAATGCACTTGGAATTAATTTTCTTGAGATGTTTTTCACCATTGCCAGACTCTCACCGCAACCTGGAAATTTTCCGGAACGGCTTGGTTTCGCGCTGCCGGCCACCATCTCCGATCACCATCATGGGAGACACAAAAGTCGCTGGGTACTCTCCAGGCATGTGCTCCGGCACATTGCTATCGTCTGAGATTAAAACATTGGACCGGAGCTTTTTAGAAATTGATTTTTCTGAAACGTCCTCTACCATTGTTTGGGCTCGCCGCCGCTGCGGGCCACCGCCATCGGAGAAGGACCTGCTGGGATTAGCACATCGGAATCAATTTTTTTGGTTGTTTCCTCTGCTCAAATTTACATCGGCTACCGCCGAAGGGGAGTGGACAAGCTCGCCTCTGGAGAATACTGGCTTGCTAGAATCTTGCGGCTGCCGACTGGAATTTCTGTCATCACCTTGGGACACTCGCCGGGCTGGCTATCGGAGATCGTTGGCTTGACTTTGTCACACTACAATATGAGAATGTCGTAGCCAGGAAATATTCGCCATTGCTCGGCGCTGAAGGCTACTGTAAAGCTTCCAAGTTCACCGTACCGGTGAACTCACCGGAGCTTGCTGGGAAGGAATATTTCGCTGCTTCGGAAAGGAGGTTATGTTTTCTATCAGTTTAATTACAACCGGAGGGAGAGACAATACATATGTGCTTGCCTCGGAAAGCATGAGTCTTCATAGAGCCTTGTGCTACAGACTTTTACCTTCCCATATTCCCATGCTTTATTTAGTTTCTCTGCTTTGCTTGTGAATTTGCCTAACATATTTAATTTTCACCACCTATGTCTTCATTGCTCGCCTGGGTGTACATGTATATATATGTGGCCAAATATCACATATATATATGTTTGCTTTGTTTTCTGTTCAATGCACGACTGAAGTGGAATAAGGGAGGGTCTACATAGAGCCTTTCACGCATTCCCATGCGTACTCTTCCCTTTGCTCTGCGTGTAGATGACTCAAACATTCACATGTATTTTACTTTGCATGCCACTCTCCTCTCTATTTATGTACGTATATTGTGAGTGTGTATATGAATATTAATAATATATATGTACTGCACTGCTTCGTTTGTGCGAATTACATATATGTATATGTACACATAATATAAACTCACGGCGGCCCACTATGCATAATCCACATGTTTAACTTATATATAATATACACACTTTGTGCATAATATATATAATATATGCGTGGTCCATAGGTATATATGTAATATGTTTAATGTTTTTGTTTTGCCCCACCATTTGCATGCACGGTAGATATATTACTTCCACTACTGGTCCATGCGACTGTATATATATGTATACAATATATATATGTTTGGCATTTTTACTTTGCGGATCATATACATATGTACGTACATAATATATGCTTGGTGACGTAAGGAGTCTTGA